GCCAAATATTGTCCTATCCTAACAAACCATACATCAATGGAAAGCTTATTTATTCAGATTTCAGATGATGCATAAATCTCAAATTTCACAAAATTGATCCTTATGACTGGTTTTGTGCTCCAGGGTCACATATGATACTATACGAGCCATAAAAGCCTGATGAATCAAATATGATACATAAAAACACATATGCAAATTTTTTGTCTATTTGTTGAATAAATTGTTCTATTTCAAACCGTTGTTTCATATGTCAGGCTTCACAGGTTTAAGGGCATGGCTTTCTCTCACCTGGTCCCTGGTCGTCGTCGTTTGGAAACAGATCGTCCAGATTGTCCTTCTCCTTCTCTCCGGCCTTCTCCTCGGAGGGCGAGGCGTCCTCGTCCAGCTTCCGGATCTGGTTCATGAACTCCAGGTGTTTCTTCTCCTCCTCCAGCTGGGCCACGCTCTGCTCGCTCTTCTGCAGCTTGTGTTGAGTGCTAGCCAGCTCGTCCCGCAGCCACTGGTTCTCCTGACAGAGCCGACGCACCTGAGCTCGCAGCTTCTGCTTCTCAGACTCCACCGCGCTCAGGTGACCCGACAGAGCGATGATCACCTGAGAGGAGACGGGCACATGAGTCCACCTGCTGCTTTAGGCTTAGAGAGACTGAGCTGACTGAGATGGGCTGGTGAGAAATTAGTACTTCATTCAGCAAGGATGCTTTAAATTGATCAAAAGTGACAGTAAAGACATTTATAATGTTACAAAAAAAAACAATTTTTTCATAAACACTGTTCTTTAGAACTTTCTATTCATCAAAGAATCCTGAAAATAAAATGTATCACCATTTTCCAAAAAATATTCAGCAGCACCACTGTTTTGAACATTGATAATAATCAGAAATGTTTCTTGAGCAGCAAATCAGCATATTATTATAATTTCTGAAGGATCATGAGAAAATTAAAGACTGCAGTAATGATGATAAATTCAGCTGCGCATCACATGAATAAATTACATTTCAATAGATATTCACATAGAAAACGGTTATTTTAAATTGTAATAATATTTCATAATATTACTGTTTTTACTGTATTTTTGATTAAATAAATGCAGCCTTGGTGAACATAAGAGACTTATTTCAATAATATTTAAAAATCTTACTGACTCTAAACTTTTGAACATTGGTGTATGTCAAAGTTTTAAATATTATAGCTTTGTAATTTCTAGCTATTATTGCAATTGTTCTTTATTAAAAAAAACGTAAGTAACATTTACATAACATGTCATATGCAACTGATTTAAGTCGGTAAGAATGGGTTGAAAATTGCATGGATGTTATCATTTTAAATAATTGTATAACTTATTATTGGAAATGTAACTTCTTATTAATTGCAAATAACTTATTGCTAATTTTCTTTTTTTTTAAAAACCCTAAACATTTAATGTAAAAAAGTTGCATTAATATGTTTGGAAAATGTATAACAAATATTTTTTCAAATAACTTTAAAATATATATTAAAAGTATACATTTAAAACAAAAATACCATTATAAAATGTAAATAAAACGACCATTATATAAATATAAAAAATATGCATTTAATTTCCTGAAATAATTTACATTTATTAATAATTTTATTTTAATAATTTTTTTGTGGCAGGCCAGTAAAAAAGCAGAAAAACTACTGGCCCAATCAGGCAAGCTTACAAATAATGGAGCTGAGTCCTAAATGAGATTTCTGAGTCATAGCTCTGCTATGGTGTTTGCCACAGCAATGCAAAAATCAAGTCTGATCACTTGTACAAGTTAGGGCTGTCAAAATGGCTGAAAAACTCAATTCGAATTTTGTACTTAAATATTATCAATATTCGAATTATATTCGAATTTAAAATGCATAATTTCAGGTAGGGTGAAGAAAAGCTTTTGGCTTCTCTCCTGAGGCCACAAGAGGGCGCATCGAGCAAAATATTACTAATGCACGTTTCTTCAAAGCATAATAAAATAACTATATATTGAAATAACTATATTTGAAAAAAGAGCATAATGTTTAAAATAATGTTTATAAACCTTATATAATTAAAGTTGCTTAAACAATTAGAAACAAAACAGCATCATGTATGTATGTATAGTTTAATACAAAGGACCGAAACCAATCACAAAGAGTACTTTCTTCATTTAAAAACTTGAGATGCAGTGGGATGGGGGAAAAACCGCCATAACGTCTTGAGACATGTTTTTTTAAAAGTTGAACTTGCATTAATTTTTCATGGTTTTCTAAACATGCGGCTCTTTAGTGCGAGACGCGAGTGCAACGCTGATAGACGTCCCTCTAGAAAATGTGATATGTGTTCTGTGTGAACGGCTTGGTTTCAGTTTTGAAATAAACAAGATCTTCTCTGCATTGATGTTCTCTTTTTCTGCAATATTTGTAATGAACAACGCAGCAGCGCCGCATCTAGTGGCTTCAACTGGATATCCTAACAAAAACATTATAATGCAACGACACTTACATCGTCATCGCATCTTGTGCACCGCTGATAAAGCTGCCTGATGCACACCTAAAATTCGAATGCAACGTTTTTTGCATTCGAATGTGGATTTTTAATTTAAATTCGCCGAATATTTGAAATTCGCTTTTTTTTTGACAGCCCAAGTATTAGCATAATTAACATTCGTCAAATGAATGCAATCTAGACAACCAGTTCTGGATATTCTGAGTTCAAACTGAGTCACAGACTTCGGTGTGATTCAGATACCTGCGCCTCTCCCAGTCCCAGCTCGATGTCCTCCAGGCTCTTGCGGAGCAGGCTGGATTTCTCCTGCACGACGGGCGGCTGAGTGCAGTCCAGGATGGAGTTGAGGAGCTGAGCGTGTTCCCCTCGCAGCGTCTCCAAACCCTGCATCACCGCTTTAGTGTTCAGCACGATCTCGTCCTGCGTCAGCCGCTCCAGTGTCTCTTCTCGTGGGTAAACCATGGCGGACATCACCCGCCGGACTGAGAACGGACCCAATGTTACGATTACAAACTGATGCGTCACAAATCTGACCTCACCTGCAGCTTTTACATGAAAAAATCAGCTGAATCATCATCTTACATGGCCCCAGTTAACTAAAACTAAAACAGTCTGTAGAATAAGATATAAAATGCAATAAAAGCTGCCAAGATAATCGTCAAAGCAACATCTCATTTTCATTTAGTTTAACTTGGTGTATTAAAAATAACTAGAACTGAAAAAAAAAAACTATATATATAAAACTATATAGACCAATTAAAAAAAAAAATATATATATTATATAAACAACTAATAAAAATGACAAAAACAAAAGAATTTTTTTTGTATTAAAACCATAAAACATTTGTTACTTGACATAAAATAAACAGAATAAAAACTGAAACAGAATAAAATATTTAAAAATAATAATTTTATTTTATTTCCGTTAATTGACAAAGACAAATTTCTCATTTTCATTTAGTTTAAATTGAATGTATTTAAACTATACAGCCATATAAAAAAAATTGGTAAAAAACAAACAAAAAACAGAACAAAAATAACTGGAACTGAAATAAAAAATGAATAAAAACAATACAGATATGTTTTCAAGATATAAAATATTACATATAAAAATGGTAAAATTAGAAAATTAAATATAAAATATTTTAAATATAAAAAAAAAACAATCAGTAAAAATGACAAACAAAAAAAATAACAAAAACTGAAATCATTTATAAACTACATAGTTTATAAACTATATACATTAAAACAATAACTAATAAAATGACAAAACAAATAACTACAAAGGAAATAAAAATTAATAAAGCTAATAATAAAAGAACATCAACAACAACAAAAAACAATAAAACACTAACTAAAATTAAAAAGCAAACTGAAATAAAAATAAATCAAAGTGTTTTGGGAAAAAAATAGAATAGTGTCTCAATGATACTAACATAACACTGAAATGACTGCAAAATGACTGGTGACTAGTCCTAATGACTTCATTACACCCTGGAGCCCATCATGATCCATTACTGCACCTCACACCCAAAAACAGCCAATCTGGCAACACTGACTGCAAGTGCTGACAAAGAGTCCTGCTGCCCAAAAACATCTGAAGTGATGAACAACGGCAGACCTGCCAGCCGTGTGATTCAGCTCCAATCAACAGGAACCTGAGCACATCAGGGGTCACTCATGCAGCTAATAATGAACCACTATAGAAACAGCAGTAACTGGAGGTGAAGTATGATATTATGACATTTCAGACAGACACCACCTCCATCATCTGGGCCGATTTCTCCTGCATTTCCACCTGCGTCCAGCAGAGGCGCCATCCATCATTCATCACGCCTATCGACTGCAATGCAGCAACAGCGGAGAGATGTTCAGTTTATAAACACACCTGCTCAGACCACCACCCGCGTCCTGATACTCACAACCCTTCATCCGATTAGTCCAGATTTCACCATGACTGACAGCTGCCTGGAAAAATATGGTGAAACCTGGAAAAATGCATCAAGGTGACCCGCAGCACAACACATGAACTCTTCCAGACAATCACAACATCCTCGCATCTGAGCGAAAACGGGCCCTGCTCTGAAAACACGGCAGTGTGAAACAAACAAAACTGCTAAAGCTTGTGCAACCAACTCAAAACATCAGCAAACACTTATTTTTTTTCATGCAAACTGCCTCACATACACCATTTTGTATTCTCATATAATAACACTTGAGAATGAATCATGCATATTTGATTCATAACCCCAGAAATATTAATTGCACCATCACTGACTGGATGATGAAGACAAAAATCACCAAATGCATCATCATAAATCAGCCATACATCATCTGGTTTGCTCTTTCAGACATTGTCTAAACAATTATAATGCCATGACTATTTAAATAAACACAAACATATACTTTTGCGCTATTTGCGCTAAATGTGAGTTTTGTTTTTAGCAGATCAGGCTAAACTTTCCCCATTCAATCAGCCAGCAGTTTAGCATCCTATTGTATGATCGATGCATATCAAACACTAAAGCGCAGATCATTTTTGCATTGCGTTCAAGGTACCTTTAATAATCCGCTTTTTTGGGGGGTTGTTTCGGGCTCTTGTTGAACTCAAGCGTGAAAACAATGGATTGTTATGGATTCAGACGCGTCCGAAATCCCAGACTCGCTCCAAAAAAACTATATCAGATGAATCCCCGGCGACGCGTCGGCCGTAAGGATGCGCGTCCGTCCGATGCGCTTTTGTCTTTGACGCGCTCAGCAATACAAACGCCCGTGCGCGCGATGACCCGCTTTCGCTTCGTCCATCCTTCTCGTCCCTTTCAGCTCGACAGTTGGCGGATCTTTGTGCTGGAGTGAGAGAGGATGACCACAGCAAACTGAAAATGGCTGATATGTGTGTTTGTGCCCCCAGAATCCAAAGCCCTGCGCGCTGACATCACTACACCCGCCCTCCCTCAACCGGGCGTGGATGAGCTGTGCGTGTGCGTGCGCATGCGAGGGGCCCGTGTTTCTGAATAGCAATATTAGTATTAGTATTATTTTGTCCTCCAAAATGCACAGTTAAAAAGTATAGTATTTTAACAAATATCTAAAATGATCATATACAGGTCCCAGATTAATACAGAGAAGTATGCTTTGGGCTACATTTTTAGGCTATTTCGCTTCCATAACGTGTTTTCTTTCATACTAGTGGAAAAAAAAGGAAAGAAAAAAATTCCAAAATACACATTAAAATGTTTCATTTTATGAGACTTTATCTATTTGCGTCTGTAGATTTCAATTAAAATACGTATTGCTTTATCAAAATGAGTTGTATCTCCACTTCAGCAGAACGTGCATTCAACAATTTTTACAATTTTACTCCCAACTATATTCTGAAGGTTTTTACTGAGGGGTTTGTTTATATAACATTCACATGCTTTTGTATAACATTTTAATCCTAAAGTGGTGAAAATGTTCTGTTCTGATTTATGGAGAGATAAAACAGATCAAAATCCCTTCTGTAAAAACCTTTAACTCAAGGATGTCAACAAAATGAAACAAGAATTTTGAACCTGGTTTTATCCCGTATCTAGAAAAGGATGCAAATGAGTGCATTTTTAATTAGAAAATGCTTTAATAACGTGTAAAATACTTGTAATACAAAACAATTGTTTTAGTGTGTGGTGATTAATTTGTCTTCTGTCAAAGTAGTGGAAAGAAAACATCCAAAATACACATTTATTTGTTTTATTTTTTTTACACTTCACCTATTCGGTCTGTAGATTTCAATTACAATACAAATTGCTTTGTCAAAATGAGTTTGTATCTCCACTTCAGCACAACTTACATACAACAATTTTTACAGTTTTACTCCTAACTATATTCTGAAGGTTTTTACTGAGGGGTTTGTTTATATAACATTCACATGATATTATACAACATTTTATTCCTAAAATATTGTGAAAATGTACTTTTTTTATGATCTATGGAGAGATAAAACCAGATATCCAAAATCCCCTTTGTAAAAATCTTTAGTATGTCAACAAAATGAAACAATAATTTTGAACCCGGTTTTATCCCGTATCTAGAAAAGGATGCAAATGAGTGCATTTTTAATTAGAAAATAAAATACCTTAATAATGTGTAAAATACTTGTAATACAAAACAATTTTTAATGTATGGTGTTTAATCAACTGGGGAAGTATGGAAATATATATTAGTTTAACATTTTACTTTATTTACCTAGTGTTTGCCTTAATTATGGGATGTTTTCACAAGTATAGATGTACAATTCTGTTAAACTGATCATTAACATATCTATGGCAGAGCAATGCAATTGACAAATAATATTTAGTTTTGTTTTACCAAAAATCTACAAACTACACAAGAGAATTTACAAATCAGGTGTTTATTAAATAAAAAAAGAATACAAGTAACACTTCCACTGTCCATACCACATCTATTGACTGACAACTCAATTATGAAAAAGCAGTACTACAAAAACATGTCAAATAAAAAAATAACACAATAAAGGAACATGAGTCCATATTACAAGCACTTTGGATATGTACAAGCGTTTTTGTCTAAAGGCAAAAAGGCAGAGCTGAAGACTGCTAAAAGATAATAAATGCATGTGCAAAAATACTTATCTCATCCACAAGCTCGGCTTCTCGATATTCCATGACTAAATATTACGCGATGATTTACTTTGCACAGTAGGTTAACATTGGGTTTAAATCTGAAGCTTGTGGAATTCAGGCATTTTATCTCTCCAACAGATTACATTGACCAAAAGTATTTGAAGCGGACGAACGCCATTCTGATTGGCCATTGCGATAATTAGTCGACCAATCAGAATGCTGGAATCCACTTCATGTTGTTGAACTTTCACATGACAACTCAACACAGTTACATACAGAGGTACGAGGACAGGCAAAGACCAGACTCCACACGGCACACGCATAAAGAGACATTCCATGTTCAAAACATCGAATGGAAATTAGTAGTTGTTGAAAACCCTTTCTTTTAATATCGAAATGAATCGTTCGGAAAATTCGGTACTTCCCATTCCCATTCCAGACTGCTCCATAAATACTGAAAATAATTTTCCATACATACAAAAACACAAGCAAACAAAACAAAATGTAACAGCTGACACTCTTTGGCAGTGACACTCTTTTTTTTTTTTGCCCCTAATTTTTTCCATTCAATACATATCCATATCAAATTTTAACCTGGACTCCGAAATAGTTTCCATTTATTTTGTTCTTTTAACTCAAAACGCTTGTTTGAAGGTTTCTGCAAGTTTTTGTGCATTTGCCACGGACAGTAAGTGTAACAACAGTACAGATATTTTAATTAGTTTGAAATAAAATTCAGCATGGGTTTTTCTCTTTATATGCTCAACATCTATAGGGGGGCTTTTCTAGAAGGTCTCTAAGCTTTGATGGACATGCTGACCCTCGAAATCATTTATGATTTTCAGATCCAATGAGGAATGATCAAAGCCTCAACAAGACTGCAAAACCCTCTAAACACAGTCACTAACTGAAATATTAAAAGTATTTCAGACGTTATGACAGCCACAGTATGCATCTTCCTATGAGCCTTAGAATTTCGATCACAAAGATATTAATAAAATGCAATTTAAACAACTACATAAAACATAGTAAGAACTTATCTGCTATAGATAAATTATTCATGTGTGATATTTGTTCAATAGTGCGGTACTGATAACCAACATTAACTAATTAACTCAAGAGTATGGGCATAAAAAGGAGAGATGCATTTAATGTACACACAAAAAAAGACACTCACACTTCAAAACTATTGCTAAACATCTCTGTAAGAAGCAGGAACAAATAAAAATCTAATTGACCCATCGTGACTTTAATACTATGTTGTTCTTAATACTTTTAACCACAGAAAAAATGATGCAGTCATTCCAGAAAACGTGACTTAAATTAGAAAGATTTTGGGTGAGTCTCACATCGAGGTTATATATTACCTCAGAAATCAAAAGAAACTAGGCATGCACGATATTGGATTTTTGCTGATATCCGATATTTTTCAACTCATTTTGGCCGATACCGATATTTTTCCTTTTGTTTGGAAACAACACCAAGTCTCTCCTGTGCAGAAATTATAAGCAAAATTTTTTAATTTTAGCTAGTTTTTAACAAGAACTTATTTGTTAGAATTAAATAAACAATTATGAAGGTTTTTTGACAGTACATTGAAGCTTTGAAAATAACTATAAATAACCCATATATCAATCGCTGCTTTTTCCCCCCCAGAAAGATGCAAGGTTAACCCTAACATTTTATTTTAAGATTTAACATTTGTAGATGGTCTAAAGCAAAAGAGTTATAAATATTATAGAATAAAATGATTTAATTTACAAGTGTCATGTTTGTGATTTTTTTCATGTAAGCTATAGCTTCTTGACCTTTAAATCAAAACATACTCGATATTTTATGACATCAATTACTGCTTTATTGAATCAGAAACAGTCTAAATTTTATTTGTGTAGGCTATTTTACTTTTAATTTAACTAGAAGTAGGCCAACAGCGCCCCCTACAGATTAAAACTCCTTACTGAGCGGTCGTTAGGACCTGTGGGAGGCTGCTTACTGAGCGGGCGTTAGGACCTGGGGGAGGCTGCCGCTGCTGCACGTGCTATTACTGTTTACTCTATCACACACCGAACGCATCATTCTGTTCGTGCTTTCACAGATTAAATGCAGCGATCCAAACAGTCATTCTAATCATCATTCAGACAAAACTTTGCTTCAAGAATGAGCGACACTGCTGACGTGATCTAATCGCTAGCACACCCTGAGCACATGTGAGTTAACGAATTCCTCTTATCGGCAAGACATATCGGCATAATTTTTCATATCGGCCAATTCCGATATTTACATTTAAAGCCATTATCGGCCGATTCCGATATCAGTCCGATAATATCGTGCATCCCTAAAAGAAACAATAATTATATTTAAATTATTTTAGTAAAAATTACTGTAATGCAAATATTTGTATTAGAAATCAGCAAAAATGAACTAAATTGCAACAAATGCTACCATGATACACTGTATGCAACTAAAACTGAAATAATCTAGAATTTTTTTTCAACATGACTGTAATAAATATTTAGGCCAATCATGTCACAAAGGAAAGTCCTAAATGTTCCTAAATTTGGGTGGATTTTCTTGAAACAAAATATTTTTCCATATTTCTTTCTTCTGATTTTGTGGTGAAATATGACATGTTTGTGACGGGTTTTGTGAGGTTTTTTGGGTCACTCTTTCAGTCTGAAAGTGAATTCATAATAATATTAGGAGTTCAACAGATTAATTATGTAACAATCACTGTATATTAATAATTCATCAGCATTTCAAGCATTTCAAGCTGCAATGGGTGGAAAAACGCCAAATCTTGTGCCGTGAATAATGTATAGTTAACACCACGGACTAATTAAACCAGCGAGCATTACTGTCCACAAACACACACTCGCACAAACCAACACACACTACACACTGGTTTCACTCTTACTGTGGCACAACAACATCTTATAGATAGTTTTTTTTTGTTGCTTATTTTGTTATTATTTGAAAACCACATTTTAGTGACGCTTTGTTAGTTGCATCACCTACCACTCACGAGATTATCTCACAAAAGTTCTAGACAAATAAAACCACGTTACTTTTGCGAAAGCTGCCATTAGCAGTAATGTAACAAGCTCCAGCTAGAAAATAAAGGGATGTTGTGGCTCGAGATTTACTGATCTCAGATCAGTTCTCACGTTTTGTTCACAGCTGCACTGCAAAAAATGATTCTTTCAGTATTTTTGTCCCATTTTGTATTTTCTAGTATTTTTTAATCGCTAAACTTTCTTAAATCAAGATGAAGCAAAATGACTTAAGATATTAAGTCTTGTTTTCTTGAAAATGATTTCATGCTTCAAACAAGGGGAAAAAAAAAACATCTGTGGGAAAACTAGTTTATAATTTTGATCATTTTTCGATCAGAAAAATACTTTATTTCTTAAGTCACTTTGCTTCTCAAGTAAATGTGTTTTGATTTAAATATGCTTAGATATTTGTACCGAAAAAGACAAAAACAAAATAAGACAAAAAGAGTAAGAAAATGATATTTTCGCAGTGTGTAAAGGTAGTGTTTGTGAATCATGTTTTAATTGGGCATTCCGTATGAGGAGCTGTTGTGCTTTGGATGAAGATATGAAGAAATGAAGGCGAGTTTAATAAGTGCATAGCATTTGACAACTGATGAAGATGAAACCCTTGAAGTTCTCCCCAAACCAGTTTCCAGCTGTGAAGATGCACACAAAAAACTATATGTAAAACTACGTCTTCCCTAATTCTGCTGGCTTAATCGGTGACATTTTCACCTCCAACCTCATCCAGCCTTTACGTCAGGCCTTGTGCTGCTTGATAGGACACAGTTCTCTTATAAATCGACTTCGCCTTGAAATCATTGCCGTTGCCCATGTTATAAAGGTGACTGACTCTTTCTGTCCCGTAATGTTTACATTCTGATTGGCCAGAGATCTTTGGAGATGGTTTATGAAAAGAAGTAAAACCTGTAGATGAGCTGCATATTTAAGCTAAAAGGTCACTTTTAAAAATAAACGATAACTGACATAAAAGCGTGTGTAAAAATAAATATAAAACTAAACTGAATTCGTTTATTCTAGTTAACAGAGATTAACCAATGTGAACTACTAACCTTCCGTATACGTCTAGGGGAACGCAAGAGGTGAAACGATTCGTGCACAAGTACACAGTGCACTATTGAGCTAACGTTAAATGTTAACTTTGCCAGTGCATTATGGGTGATGTAGTTTTAAGACATGCAAGTTAGAGGTCAACGACGCATTTTCAGATTTCGTCGACTGGAAGGATAAAACAAACTATGCAAATGAAGATTTGTAGGAAATCTCATTAGTTGGCTAATGGGCACCTTGTAGCCCCGCCTCCGATGTAAAATTGGCGTTTAACTCCACCCTCTTAATAAAGGCAGGAACTTTGCTAATTTTCGGAATATTCATTGGTGCTTTTTTCATGTTTACAAAAAACTACCATGGTAACCACAGTTTCCGCCAAAATTCCATAGTTGCTAAGCAACAGAAAGATTCCGAAAGCTGATTTTACTGTTAAGTTTATCTCCAAATACAGTTACCATGGTAGATTTTAGCAAGGCTTAAACTGCATTTATCGATTATGCTGGTTATAGACGCCAATGATGAAAGAGATCAGTTATATCAAGGGATATATTCAGGGTTGTCGAGTGTGATTTAAGCGGTGCCATGCTGTTAAATAGTCATCAACAGGTGGTGTATCCAAATTTTGTGCTTGGCCCCCATATGTGGCTCTGGGGCCTTTAATAAATAAAAGTGACTAGCGCTGATAAAAGTCTATCGAAGCCGCCGAATCGAACGTCTTCACCTCCACCTACCCACCCACCAGAGACGGTCACATGAAAATCCCATCTCAACTGTGATTGGCCAGCGTTCTGAGAGTGGCGGCGGCAGTGTGCAATGGGGTGTAGGCTGCAGGTTGAAGAGGCGGGGCTGAGAAAGTGGGCCATCCTAGGAGGGTGGTTTGCTGTAGCCGAACAGTCCCACCGGGAGATACTTGACGTGAGTCGGCCACTGAGCGGCTAGCTGGAAGAACTTCACGTCGTTCCACTCGCATCCGTCGATGGTGACTGAGAAAGGAGGAAGAGGAATGTTGTTTTCTGCTTTAGCTAACAAGAAAGCAGTTTTCTGGCTGTAATGAAGGTCTGGTACCTTTCAAGATGGTCTGCTGCTGTTTGGCGGAGCAGATGAGCCGGCTGATGCCCTCGATCACCTGACTCTTAGAGTCCATCTCCCGCTCTTTAGGCTTCTTCCCCAGGAAAATAGTGGGAACTGCACAAAGAAAGCGAGAGGGAGACATATGAAGTGTTGGTATTGGTTTTTCTTTTAATAAAATATTTGATTTACACTACCGTTCAAAAGTTTGGTCAGTAAGTTTTTTTTAAAGGAAATTTCTACTTTTATTCAGCAAGGATGCATTAAATTGATCAAAAGTGACAGTAAAGACATTTATAAGGTTTCAGAAGATTTCTATTTCGAATAAATGCTGTTCTTTTGAACTTTCTATTCATCAAAGAATCCTGAAAAATGAAATGAATCACGGTTTCCACAAAAAATATTTTGGAAAGATAACCGTTTTCAACATTGATAATAATCAGAAATGTGTCTTGAGCAGCAAATCAGCATATTAGAATGATTTCTGAAGATCATGTGACACTGAAGACTGGAGTAATGATGCTGAATATTCAGATGCGCATCACAGGAATAAATTACATTTTACAATATATTACAATAGAAAACAGTTATTTTAAATTGTAGTAATATTTAACAATTGTATTGTTTTTGATCAAATAAATGGTGAGCATTATCTCAAAAATATTGAACTTTTTGTTCATATAAACATTTTATTTTTACTTTTATATTTGAAATTTAAGTCACTTTTTATTATTTTTTAAATAAAAAAAAAGATACATAATTTATACACATGTGCATTAAATATATATATCGTATGTGTACTAATTATTTGTATATTCGTTGTTTTATTTACTTTTTTTTTCCTCTTGTAATTTAGTTTTTTTTTTAATATTTTCTATTATTCTACTCTTGGCTCAAGTATGCTTGATACATTCTATATATTTATATTATGTTCAGTACTGTATTTGTGCAACTAAGTGCATTTAAAAAAAATGTTGCCTTGCAATTTAATTTCATTTGCCATTTACTATCTGTGCTGTATGATGAATAAAAAATATTGCCCTGTACATTAAACAATTTCTACTACACTGAATTAGTTTGTCCAAAGCAAACCTGGATCTTCTGGATGCTGTGAATGTCCACTGTATCATTTTGCATGGTTCTTGGCTTCATGACGGTCTGCTCACCTTTCTTGTTCTTCTCTTTGGTGACCACGGTCATGGCCATAGTGTTGACGGGCGCCTGCGGCTCGCTGGCTCCTCCTCCTGGCAGCCGGCTGACCTGCAGCGACCAGAAGGCACTCTTCAGAGTGTTCTTACAGCTGGTGTCTTTCCTCTCGCCCTCGCGACGCTTCTCCGCCAGAGACGCCAGCCAGTAATCCACCTGCAGACCGATGGCGTCCCCGCCATGAGACATGCTGGGACTCCTGAGACAGACACATCACACACACATCACATCACAGCAGCCAGACACTTATGCAGTTTTCTTCTGCATTGCTACCGCTCAAATGCCTATTGAATTTGTATATAAAAATGTAGGAATATGCAGTTTTGAGCCATTTTATTCTTCCTAAAAGGTTGAACATATATATTACTAAACCTAAAACTGAAATAAATATAAAGCTATTTGTAGAAATTCTATTTATAGAGATAATATTTCTATAAATAGAAATATTTAAAAAGACAAAAATCACATAAAATGACAAAAACCATAAACTGAAATTTAAAATAATACAATAATACAAATAAAAGCCTATTCGAAATAATTCTATAATATTGCAACATGCTCAACTTCTATTTTCACTGTGATAAATTAACTTGATGACAATCTGATCTGACATTTAACACAGAACTTCAAATTAAAAATTTAAAATAAAACTGTTTTTTTCCAAGGATGTCACTCACTGAATTAAATAATGAAGATAATGTTGTATATTATTAATAATCAATAAAAATTCAATAAATCGAAATCACATTAGAAGCTGGAATATAATTATAGTAATGATATAGTTATAACATATACATATATACTGTATATATATATATATATATATATATATATATATATATATATATATATATATATATATATATATATATATATATATATATATATATATATATATATATATATATATATATATATATATATATATATATATATATATATTATTTTGTTCTTTTAAAAATGTTGAACATCAGTTAAAGTACTAATATTACTAAGACTGAAATAAACTACTGCTAAATTGAAATATTAAAAATTAATAATACAAATGACAAAAAACAAAATGATTAAAACTATAAACTAAAATTAAAATTAATATAAAAATAAATGATTTAATTTAATCAAATATTAATAAATACTATTATAATATATAAACAATAGGCTACTTTCATTGCAAACTCAACAGTAAAAATTAAATAATCATAACATCAATAAGAATTCGATCAATAGAAATAACAGAAATTGTTTCACTGTCTATTAAATTCTATATAAAAAGTGTGGAAATTTTGAAACATTTTATTTTGCTAAAAGGGTTGAAACACCAATAAAAGCTTGAGTACTAACAGTACTAAAACAAAAACAAATAGAAATTAACACTGAATATAAATATTAAAAATAAACAATAACAATACAAAACGCATCAAAGACAAACTATAAACCAAAAATAAAATGAAAACTGAAAATATAGAAATAAAAGCTAATTCAAAATATTAATAATACTATAACAGTACATGAATATTATATATAATTGTATATTAAAAGGTTGAACCACCGAAACCAACGAGACTCCCTGTGGAAACATCCAGCTAAATGGTGACAGAAGTGGTTTCACATGGTTTCTACAGGCCCGAGCTGGTTTTAATGGGCGCTAAAACCAGCCTGAGCCCCTTTATGACCCCTGAGCATGACCTGGTTTCTCCAGCAGGATTAGCAAGTCATTCGGGAAACCTTGTGATGGACGTGAGCATGAGCCGAGCGTGATCCATCACTCACTCACCCCTGCACAGCCAACCCGCCGCCCATGGACGGAGACGAGGGGGGCGTGGCCATCTCCTTCAGCCCGCCGGGTGAGCCGTGAGAGGGCGGAGACGTGGAGGGGACGGCTAAACTCACAGCCACGCCCTCTTCAGAGTCGCCTGGGAAACAGAGACACATGGTGAGCTTCTGTGCAAGAGTTATTAAACGCCATCAGTGCTTCAGTCTCCATGGAAACACACACCTGCTGATGATTGGCCAGGCTCAATCAAACCCACTTTCACCACCTGCGAGATGCCGACAACAGATCACAACAAACAAATATTATAAAAAAAATTATTTCATTTGATCGATTACAATACGTGATATATTATATAATGCTTTGAGTGACACTTATGCTGTTTGCAAGAAATATATAAGGCAAAAACTCTGATATAAAGAGAGAGAGAAAAAATGTAAATTCTAAAACGGAGAGTTCCGGTCCTTGATTCTGATTGGCTGAGCCACGTTCAACGCTGTTGTAAATGACTCTACAAAGTAACATACACCTTTGTTTACGTCCGTGTGTTGCTCGGCAATCACTTTGTTGCAACCACAACTGATTCTGAGGAGCTACATTGTTTGGTGGAAGAATACTGTTTTTATTAATATCATTACACTTTATTTGCTCTGTTTTATTTTGTGAAACCTTACTATGTATATGGAATAACCATTTTATAAAAGCAATAAGCCACATGAAGCCGTGGTTTACAGTGAATTTATAACAGCTACACGTCGTGCCTAACAACACCCCTTAGCTGTTATAAATTCACTGTAAACCAC